CTCGGACACCAGCTGGGGCACCTCGGAGGGGGCCTGAGGGGCCTGAGGGGCAGGCACGCCTGGGTCCAGGGGGTCCCAGTCGTTGGGGAAGAGGGGCTCGGGTGGGGAGCCATGCTCCTCCAGGCGGATGTAGTACTCACTGCTCACCGAGGGGCTGCGGGCGCTGATGACCGGCAGCACACTGGGTGTGGACAGTGCCTCATAGAAAGGGTTGGAGGGGTTGGCATGGGGGGCTGGGGGTGCAGACGCCGGCTGCCAGGGAGGTGCCCCCCCACCCCGGCCTGCCCCACGCCTCGCCTTCTCCCACAGGCACTCAAGGTTGAGGCCACGGCTACTCTCGGTGACCGTGAGCACATCATCAGGGTCAGCCCCAGGGAAGCCATCCAGAAGGGGGAACGGCGAGGACAGGGTCCCTGGGCGGGGTGCACTGTGCGATGGCGGCCAGGGCCAGGGGAAGGGACCATCTCGGGGTGGGGGTGGAGGAGGTGGGGGTCTGGGGGGGCGCTCAGAGAGCAGGTACGTGAGCTGCAGTTGGAGATCAGAGGCTGAGGGGCGCTGGGCAGGTGGCCGCCAGCAGGACTGCAGGATGTCATACCTGGAGGGAAAGAGAGAGGCAAGCGTAAGCAGGGGGATCCCCAGACAGGGACGGAGACCCCAAGAGTGGGCCTGAAGCCTCCAGGTGGGTCAGGGTCCCAGAGAGTGAGGGACAGTGAAGTCAATGGGAAGAAGGAGCCAAGACACTGTCTCCATCTGGGCTGAGTCTAGAATCGGGCACGAAGGAGTCTTAGTGAATTCACAGTTCAAACCCCAGCTCTGCCACCTCCTGCCTCAGTTTACCCACTCCAAGTGGCAGATGCTGGCTCGAGGGGGGTGAGGAGGTCACTTCTCTGTTCTTGGGAGCAAGTGAGATTGTAGGTGGTGTGTGGAGGAGGTGGAGGGACTGAGACCATCCTGGGTGGGATGGGCAAGGCTAGGGACCTGGAGTCAGGGCCTGGTCCTCACCAGTAGTCGGCATAGGGCAGCTTGAGCCTGGGGCGGGCTAGCTTGACGTGCTGCTGGCGGACAACAAAGGCGAGGACCTCCTCGTCTGACAGGTGACGGTAGGGCTGTGCCCCAAACTCAAACAGCTCCCACAGGGTCACCCCCAGGGACCTGTAGGGAGCAGAAGGCACAGAGGGCTCAGCGCAGCCCTGCCCCTCAGGGGTCCTCCCCCAGGGGAGGCATCCAGAGATCTTCCATCTTCCCTGCCCTCCAAAGCCAGGCCCCTTACCAGATGTTGCTCTCTCGGCTCTGGTCCACCACCATGAAGGTCCCGTGCAGCTCCCCGAGGAGCTCGGGCGCTGCCCATCGCAGGGGGATCCACAGGCGCTCGGGGGTCAGGTAGTAGTCCTCCTGGCGGGGAGGGGCCCGGAGAGGGTCAGGAGGGTCAAGGCACCCCCAGGGCCGCCCCTGCCCCCCGCCCGGTCAGAGGGCCGCCCCCACCTTGTAGTTGCTGTGGGCCAGCCCATAATCTCCGATGCGCACCGTGAGGTCGGAGGTCAGCAGGCAGTTGCGCAAGGCCAGGTCGCTGGGGGCGGGGCGAGACCAGTGAGCGCAGGACCACGCCCACTCTCCCTCTGACTCCGCCCCTTACTCCCTCGCCCAGGTTGCTTTGCCTCCGAACACTCCTCTCCCCTAACTCCTCCTTTTCCTCTCCTGGTTCCTCCCCTCCGGGCCTCTCCCCTCCTCTGCTGGCCCCGCCCTCTCCTAACTCCTCCCGTTTTGGCTCCCCCCGCCCCCTGGCTCCTCCCCCTTTGGCTCTTCCCTCCTCTCCTGGCCCCTCCGTCCCCTGGACCACCCTCTTTCCTCTCCCGGCTCTTCCTCTCCTAATCCCCCTGCCTCCTCCCCACTCTCCTCGGCCCCGCCCCTTCTCTTCCCCAACTCCCCTTTCTACTGTGCCTCCCGGGCTTTCCCCGGTGCCCGTCACTCAAGACACCTCCCTCCTTTAGCTCCTCCCCCGCGGCCCACCTGTGCACGTAGTTGTGGGAGTGCAGGTGCGCCAGCCCGCGGGCGATCTCCAGGCCCATCCTCTGCAGTGTGCGCAGATCTCGAGGGGGCAGCTCTGGGGACAGGCCCTCGGGGGGTCGCTGGGCCCGGAGGTAACGCTTCAGGTCCCCCTGAGAGGGAGACAGGAACAGGTCAGCACAGCAGCCCCTCCAGGACACTAACAGTGCAGCTACTGAAGCGAAGGAGGAGGCTGGTCGGCCCCTCGACCTCCGTTTCCCCGCTTCAGGGCGGGCATGCGTACAGCGAGCTCAAGAATGGGGCGCCGCCACACGGGTGCCTTGGGATGGTGATACAGAGTGCGGGGGAGGGGTCCTCGGTGTGCCCCACCTCTCCCTCCTCGAGTCTCGCCCCCACCCCGACCCTCACCAGCTGACAGAACTCCATGATCAGCAGGAAGGGCAGCGTCTCCACACAGAGGCCCAGGCACTGGAGGACGTTGGGGTGCTGCAGGCTCCTGTGGGGGAGGCTGCGGGTGAGGAGCTGCCCTCCCTCCCACCGCAGCTCCCCCGCAGCACCCAACCTAGTCAACCTCTTTTCTTTTGTGGAGCTGGGGATCGAACCCAGGACTTTGTGCATGCGAGGCGAACACTCTACCAACTGAGTATATCCCCAGCCCGTGGGCCACCTCTTTGGTCTATTTCCCCACTCAGAGTCCCTCTGCTCTCCCTCACTGGCCTGCAGTGCCCAAGCCAGACCCCGAAGTGACCCATTCCTCCTCATTCCCAGCCTCCTCTTGCCTCTACCCTCCTGCCTGGGCCTCTCTGTCTCCAGGCCTGCCTCCAGTCCCTCCCCTTCAGTTTGTCCCCGACCTGCCATTCACCTGCTCACAGTGCTTTGTGGCTTCCCAGCGCCCTTGAGAGAGCCCTGCTCTGTAGAGTCCTCTGTCTCTAGAGTTGGCCTGTCCCCTCTTCACCCAGTGTATATCTTCCCAAACTTGGTGGCAGACCCTGCTTAGGCTCCCAGCCTTGGCACTTAAGAATTCTGGAGAATGCCCCGCTTCCTCAAAGTCCTCTGCAGGCCCTAGCTTCTCCACGGTCTCCCAGGGAGCCTCACCGCCCTCCCCCATGCTGGGCCAGTGCCCCTCCTCCACCCTCACACTCTCAGTTTGATCCTAATTCCAACTTTCCCAGGGGTATCATCTCAGCCCAGTCATGTCACCAGTCCCTGCCTTCATTTGTCTCACCTATAAGGTGGGGCTCCCTCATCTGGTTGTGGAGGGGAATTTCACGAGGTCAGGGAGCTGGTCTGCGCTGCAAGGTCCCGGCTGTTTCTGCTGTTTTTATTTTATCTCAACCCATTGGGCTGTGTTTCACCCTCTGTCCTAGCTGTGGCTCCTGGGCCACTGGCTCCCGACCTTGGCATCTACTGTTCCCTCTGCCTGGGACACTCCCCACAGTGCTGTGCATGGCTGGTACCTGCGGTCAAGCCTGGCTCTCAGATGCTCCCGTCCAAAGTAACCTGTCCCTGTCACATACTGTCTTATTTCCTCATGCCACTTATTCTCTGATTTCCTTCTTAAAATTTAGTTCTTATTTTTGTGTCTCCTCCACTTGGTGGGGTAAGCTCTTCCAGGGCAAGAACATGGGGGCAGTTTGCTCACAGCTGTGACCCCAGTCACAGACCAATAAGGTGCTCCATAAAAACGTGCTTGGTGAAGGACTTGGCCTTCACAGAGGTCTGCAACTCGGGGCGGGGTGGGGTGGGGTGTGAAGCACTTCAGGCTAGCAGCCGGGTCCGCCAGGGGTACAAACATGGCAAGGCCTGGTAGGGGGCAAGGGTCACTTGGTGCTGTTGGGGCCAGAGGCCAAGCCCCAGCCATCCACCACCTGTATTCTAAAAGCAGCTCTGTGTCCTGTAACCTCCTCCACCTTAGAGAATAGTGCCTTCTCTCCAATTAGTTGAAGGCTCATGTGACAAAGTGTTCACAGAGCACTTGAAACGGGGTGAGTGTGGCTGGGAAAGTGAGCTTCAGATCTGATTTCATTGTATTTCGCTTAAATGTAAACAGCCACGTCTGGCTGGTGGGTGATAAGCAAGTAAAGAAACTAACCACCAAGTGGGATACGTGTGACCTGTGATGTGATGGGACACCCCAGGGCTGTCCCTGTGGGGAGTGAGGGAAGGATTCTGAGAGCTGAGGTCTGAGAAGGGAAAGGGAGCCCCCAGTTCAAGGTCGGGAGTGCATGAGCAGGGAGCCCTGTTCCTGCAGCAGGGAAAGGGGCTGCTGTGGGGGAGGCTTGGTAAAGAGGAGGGAGTGGCTGGGGCAAGGGGACAGTGGCAGGAAGGGGACAGGCTCAGACTGTGCAGGACCTGGGGGTTGTAGGGAAGACTGGGACTTGTCCTGTGGGCAACAGGCAATCATGAGCAGTTTTGAAGCAAGGGAGAGCCAGAGTCCAAGGTCTGTGTCTCTCGGGGTAAGTCCCACTTTTACAGCTGTCCTCCCAAGTGATCTCTGTCACACACCCTTTCCGTGACAGGAAACTTGGTACCTCACAATACAATTATCTGGCAATTGTTCACCCTGACCTCATCCTAGGAGCCCTTAGAGTGGAGGGGGGTAAAGAGGAGAGGCACCGAGTCTCTCTTCCCGGACCTCACAGTAACAGGGGAAAAGGGGGGCAGGGCAGAGCTGCTCAGTGGACACATGGGGGCCTTCCCAGGGCTGGGGGTCTGTGATTCCGGCTCTGTCCTTCCTTACCCATGCAGGGGCCTTAGGAAGGGAACCACTGTCAAGTACCCAGCACTTAATACAGGTCATCTTACGTCTTCCCATCTGATCTCTTCATGAGGATATAAGGGGTTCCTGGGTTCCCTTGCCAGATGAAGATACCGAGGTTCAGAGTGGGGAGGAGTTGGCCTCTAGCTAAGCTTCAATGCTCTCCTGACCTCCATCATACTTCATATCCCCAGCTCTGTCCAGGGAAAAACCTGAGGCTTTGGAGGGAAGTTTTCGGAGTTGCACAGCCAGAAAGAAGTCCATCTGAGATCTGAACCCAGTTTGACCCTACACTGGGTTCCTTCCGCTTGTAAGGATGGTCTTAGGCCTTAGACTAGGCAACTGCATTTTAAAACTCCAGTTTGAAACCTGCAGTCTCACCAGGCACACCTACGGGGCCCTCCAGTAGGGCTCTCAGACACAAACAAGTCACTTCTCCCCACCCTGACAAACTCGGAGTGAAGTGTCTGTCACATTGCCCTCACCCTGATAAGAGGGAAAGGCAAGAAAAATCAGGGTGGGGACCACCAGACCAGATGCTTTAACCTCAGGACAAATGATGTCACTGAGAAATCCAGTAGCAGCTGATAGGGATTGAAGGAGTGGTCAGAAGCCCCCCAAATTTAGTATAAATGATGGAGCAAACAAAGAGACATTCAGCCAGCCGACCCTGATGCACATGAGCCTGAGAGCCTGAGGGGGACCTGGGCTGACACCCCACTCTTCTCATCTGCCTGATCCTCTGCGTTGTTCTCAACGCTCTCAAACTCTGCAGCAGCCTCTTGACTAGGACCGCCTCCCCAACTGGCCGTCAGCTCCACCCAGGAGAAGCCGGCCTTGGTTCCCGACCCGATCACCGCGGTCTGAGTGGTGGGCATCTGCTGGACTTAAAGCCTAAGGCCTGGGACTTCTGATCTGATGACACCTGAACTTAGCACGCAGAGGGAATGTCTGTCCTGAGCCTTGCAGGTAGCTGAGGTGCTGTTTGCAGTGCTTGGAACTAATCTAGAACTGATTGCTGTGAATTGACTATGTCTATTGCAGTGCCCAGCATTAAGGTTGTCATTTTCTTGATTAAGAATCTATAGAGTGAAATTGTATTGAGTGATTTGAGTAAAGCATTGAAAAGGACAGAAGTGCATGAACATTCTTTATTTCTGCCCCTCAACTGCATAAGTCGCACCTTTTGCCATCGCAACACCACTCCTAAATGTGACCTCTCTGAGGGGCAAACCTAGAGGGCTCCCAGAACCCCATCCTGAGAAGCCTCCCCTACCTGTAAGGTTGAGCTTCCGAGATGAACTTGCGCTGCTCCAGTGGCCCTGCGCTGGCTCGGAGCTCCTTCACCACCACCTGGGCTGGGGTGTAGTCAGAGAAGAGCTCTCCCAGGATCACCTGGCCAGGGGCACCGCGAGTCAGCGGCTGCACGCCTCTCCACGGCTCCCAATTCCCCACTCCTGTCCAGCCCCCACTTCATATCCACCGCCCCCTCCCCTACCCAATTCAGAGTGAGAGACTCACAGGCCCAAGGTCCGATGGACGCAGGGATAGATGGAAGGATGGACAGACGGACGGACGCGTGGAGAGCCAGGTGGCGAGGCAGAGTGGTCAATGGAGTGAGGAGGGAGGCGCTGACCGACAGATGTGGACGATGGGGAAGGAGGATGCAGGTGAGAGGTGGACGGAGGGGCATGGGTAGGCTGGGGGGCGAAGGGTGGGGAGGCAAGAGGCAGATGAGAAGTGGTGAGAGCAGGGGGATGGACACAGAACAGAGGCCAGGCTAAGACTGTATGGACACCCCACCTCCCACCCAAGCCCCACTCACCTTCCCAAACCAGCCACTCCCAATCTCTTGTAGGTAGCTGAGGTGCTGGCGGCTAAGACTCAAAGGGGTGGTCATGTCTGGGGAAGGAGTAGGATGGGGAGGCCCCTGAGCCTCTCTTCTCTCCCAGGTGCCACCTCCCCGCCCCCCAAACACTTAGTGGGGACTGGGGTCATAGCAGACACCAATCTCTTTTCATTGGCTGCTTCTAACATTCCATAACAGGATCTCAGCCTCCTTATTGGCTGCCCACAAGATTCCAGCATCCAATCAGCCTTTTCATTGGCATCCCAAGCTCCAATGACTTGATGGCAGCCTCTCATTGGCTGCCTCTGAGGTTGAGATCTAGGCTGATCTCACCATCCAGTGCCCCACAAGAATCTGCAAATCTGATTTTAGAGTAAGCACTGATTTCCACCAGGATGATCTGTCTCCCCACAGGCTACTTCCAAGAACCTAGGGCTCTCACCTCTGCCTTCCCAGTCTTAGCTTCCCTGAAGGGAAAATACTCAGGGCCTTCGGCCCTGCCCTCTGGGACCATGGGATCCTGGTCTGGGTCTGAAGCAGTACCTGAGTGTGAAGGCTGCGGGGCAGGCATTGGCAAGGAGACCTCAGCCAGCGGGAGAATGTAGACATCAGGCAGCGACTGAGATGAGGAGGTCTCCTCTGCTGGGGGAGTGTACTCCCCAGAGCAGTCCTCTCCTTCAGGGTTCTCAAACTCCTGTAGCCAGGAGAGGTGAGAAGGAGAACGCAGGACTGAGAGATGCACCATAATCATTCACCTAAGTATGTCTCCCGGCTTCTCTTAACCATCCTCCATCCCAGCCCAATTTCCAGATCCCAGGGTTCCAGGTCTTGCCATAACTTCAGGCCAGGGTGGGCTGTTGGACTTCTACCCCTTCTCCACCAGTCATCTGGCTTGAGGGGAAAGGCTTGGCTTGGGCCTTCCTCCCCAGGTTGATCCCTTAAGGCATCTCACCTTGAAACCGACATCGCCCCTTTTGCAGCACAGACAGGTGAGGAGGAGGAAGATGAAGGCCAGCAGGCCGGAGCAGGAAATGAGGACCACGGCGTAGGGAGGAGCCAGAGGGGCCCGGCCCAGGGCGAATCCATCTGTGGGCACAGGTCTGGGCTGGGGTTCCAGCCTCTTGCTCCTGGATTCCAAGCCCCTCCCGTCCCGGCCAGTCTTGGACTACAACTCCCACGATGCTCTGCAACTAGGGTCCCTTGGCAGAGGAGCCGGATGACCCAGGGCATTGTGGGAATTGTAGTTTGAGGCCTTCCCAGGTGGTTGAGCTGGGGGTGGGGTCTTTCCTCTCGCCCCAAGCTGGGACCCTCACCCCATACTTGAGCGAATTCCAGTGAGGACTCAGGGAAGCAGTAGTAGTAGTGAGGCCTGGAATGCTCAGAATTTAAAATACGCTCCTACGGACAGCTTCACCCCCCCCCCGCCCCCATTGAAGGAAGAGGATGAGCCCCAACTGCAGGCTGGTGGAAGATTCTTGCCCCATTCTGAACAACCCCCGCCCCGGTCAAGGGGGCTGAGACCTGTCTCTTTTAAGGACGCTTGGAGTACAGACTTGTCCTCTAGCCCCAAACCAAACCCCACAGAAGGGAACTCCGCAAGACCTGGGTCCTCCCCAAAGCCAGAGACAGCCTCCGGTGTTGTGTCCGCCTTCGAAATAGTATTCGTCCCCTCTGCCCCAATTCTCCCGGAGCCTCCGTCCTTCCCAGCTCCCTGCACACACCCGCACACACACATGCGTGCACACATACACACATGTTGCCCAACAGACCCCCCTCCCCACCCAGCCCCCAGCCTGCCTCCCCCAGGCCCTGTTGACAGAGACACCGTCCCCGCGGCAGTTCCAGGCCCAGTTTGGCTGCAGAGACGCGCACAGGTGATGCGGCCGGGGCCCCGCAGACAGGCCCGGGGCAGGCAGTGAGGCCGCGGTGGGGGTGGGGGCCGCTGGACAGGCGGATGGCCGCACAGACTCACCGGGATGGGCCGGGGACGCCAGGCAGCCAGAGGCGGAGACGGCCGCGAGGAGGATGAGGGCGCCAGGGGCAGGCATCTTGTCGAGGATGGAAGGGAGGTGGAGGTGGTGGCGGCTGGGGAGGAGGGGGGGCGGGCCCTCAGCCCCCAGCCATGGGGACCCGCGCGACCCTGGCCTCCCCCCAGCCCAGGAGTGGGGCAGGAGACGCAGGACGGGGGAGGGAGGGGTTGCTTACTGACTCAGGTACCCCCCTCCCCCTCTTTGAAGGGACAGACAGATGAAGGGATGGAGAGGCGGACAGAGGAGAGGAGCTGGGGAGCCGGGTTGCTGGGGTGGGGGGGAGAGGGTAGGATGGGGGGGCGAGACTGAGGGCCCCGCCCCCGAGGACAGCCCGGATTGGGGGAGCAGAGAGCCTGTCAGAGGAAGGGTGGGAGGAGGGAGGATGGAGGGAGGATGGAGCGTTGTCATGGCAACTGGCTCCTGGTAGCATTGGCTGCCGGGAGGGAGGGGAGAAAGGGGAGGGGGGGGACAGACAGGGACCAGTAGACCCTTGGGGCGGGGGAGCAGTGTCCACAGTGCCTGGCCGTGACTCCACTGTGACACACCACTGTCATGGACATGTGTGCTACACACTGAGATGCAGATGTCAAGCACACACAGCCCACACACAATGACACATGTCGCAGAAATCCTCATAGACAAGTATATCACATACAAAGGTGGACAGCCATCAGCAGACGGGGACACGTACACGTCACACACAAAGACGCAGGGACAGGCCACACTGGGAACACACAGGCAGTCCAGCACCTGGCACAGATGCACCCAGCCACGCAGGAACATCAAAGCATCACAAACACACACACACACACACACACCACAGACAAAGTAAAGCTCCAAATCTGAAGACACAGGTGCCTCAGACAAAGATCCACAAGGACACCACAGTGACACGGGGAGGCACATAGTCACAAACGTAGACATCTACACACCAATGGGCAACAAAGAACACCCTCAGACACAAGTATCACATATATGCACACTGCACAGATAGACACAGACATTGCTTGCACTGGGGAACACAGAAACATGTATCACATACGGGAATGCACAGGGACACAACAGAGACATGCACAGACAGGCACAGCACATACATGAATACACAGAAACACAATGCATGCCTGTCTACAGGCACAGATAAGATATGCACATTGCTCACAAACACAGTTCGTTCCCAGGGATACATACAGACACATCACATGCACAGACACACATGGGCACATGCAGCTCAGGCATACAAAAGCTATACACAACAATACACACAATTACATGACACACCAGTACATTCAGATGCATATCACACACACATTATTCATAAACACACAGGTAAGGACATCAGGCATAGATAAAAGATACACATATCACCTAAATGGGGCAGGGGGGGGAGTCACACACGTCACAAATATACACACATTTCACATAAGGTTACAAAACCTCTACCGCACCAGAGTCACACAGCAATAAACAGGCACACATAACACAAAGATTTAGAAATGCACTACACATACCGTGACACACAGACACACGCAGCACATATACACACACATTACACGACCACAAACATCTGCCTCATACAAAAGATACATAATCATAGTTGAATTTATTTATTTATTCTTATGCGTAGTTACTGGCGCCAGGCATTGTTCTCAGCGCTTTACACGTATTACCTTTTAATCCTCACAACAGCCCTCGGAGACGGGTACTTTTATCATATGCCCCTTGTACAGGTGAGGAAACTGAGGCACAGAAAGGGAGCAGTCACCTTTCCCAGGGCACACAGCCGGGAATAGCAGAGCTGGGACTGGAACCCGGTCCGTCAGGGACACCGACACATCAGACAAGGACACACACACATCACGTGCCAGGCCGCCGTCTCGGGGTCCCACCCCACCCTACGGCACCCGGAGCTGCAGACACACCCGGAAGCGCGGACTCCCACCCTGGGCGCGGACGTCTCCATCGTCCGGGAGCACCTGCGACGCGTCCCCTCCGGTGAGGCTGGGCGGGAGCGGCGCGCCCCAGACGCAGCCTCGGCAGCACGCGGCGTGGGCGACCCGGACACCCCCTCCCCAGCGCGCTCACCCAGCCCCCCAGCCTCGAGCGGGGGCCCCGGGCTTTGCACCGAACGCGCAGCCGTAGCACACTCGGGACGGCGGTGACCAACCCCGCAGCGCACAGTCTCCTCGGCGGGGGACACCGGGGACAGGAAGGGCTGCCTCTGGGGGAGTCTCACCGGAGAAAATGAGGCAGGCTCATCATGAGAGGGGGTGCTCCGCCCTGGCGGCAGGGGTGGGGAATGCAATTAGGGGGCGAGAGGGGCAGGGAAGGAGCCAACGGCTGCCCCCGTGGCTGAAGGGCACGGAACCTGGCAGAAGCCAAGGCTTATGGAAGGTGTAGTCCCAGCGCTGAGACTCGTGGGAAATGTAGTCCTCGCACATCCAGAGGGGAGGCTGGGGTTGAGCTTTTCCCCGGGATGAGACAGTGTCTGGGTGAGGTTGCAAGGTCCGGGGGTCCGCCAGGTGGACCTTTGAGAATGATGTGGGCAGAAACATTGAGCCCTTCGGTATGCCAGTAGAGTGGCCTATTTGCAGTTGCGGTCTCAATTTATCCCCAGCGGACTATTTGTTCACGTATTCACTCAGCAAACGTGGAACCCCGATGAAGCCCCTACTATGTGACTAGCCAGGCCTGTGCCAAAGCCAGGGGGTGCCACAGGGAAGAAGTCAGACCATGTCCTTTTTTATTTTATTTATTTATTTTTTCTGGAAATGTCTAGGGTTTAAAGAAATCAGGGCTTAGCTTGCCAACCGCTCCCAAGGCAGGGGATGTCGCAGAAGGGAGGCACAGAAGGTCCCTGAATTTATTTATTTATTTCGTACTGAGGATTGGACTCAGAGGCACTTTACGGCGTTTTCTCCTTGGTCCTTTTTATTTTTACTTTTTTTTTTTGAGGCAGGGTCTCATTATGTTGCTGAGGGTCTCATTAAGATGTGCACGATGTCCTGGAACTTGCACTCCTCCTGCCTTCAGAGTCCCTGGGTCTACCACGCCCGGCCTTCCCTGGAGTTTTGTAAAGAGCTGAGCCACTAGTGGAGTGTGACATCAAGTTCCTCAGTCACAACCAACATTCAAAAGAAACAAAGAGGGCTGGAGTTAGGGCTCAGTGGTAGAGCACTTGCCTAACATGTGTGAGGCACGATTCTCAGCATATAAATACATAAAATAAAGGCCCATCAACAACTAAAAATATTTTAAAAAGAAAGAAAGAAAGAGAATAAACTATTAAATAAATAGAATGGTGGTGCATGACTGTAATCCCAGAATCTTCGGAGACAACGGCCGGAGGATCGCAAGTTCAAGGCCAGCCTCAGCAACTTAGTGAGGCTCAACAACTTAGCAAGATCCTCTGTCAAATTTTTACACCCCAAAGGGTTGGGGGGCTGGGCTGTAGCTCAGTGGCAGAGCACTTGCCTCGCATGTGTGAGGCACTGGATTTGATCCTTAGCACCACATAAAAATAAATAAACAATAAATAATAAATAAATAAATAAGGGATTCTGTCCATCTATAACTACAAAAAAAATTTTTTTTAAAGGACTGGGAATGGGGCTGGGGATGTGGCTCAAGCGGTAGCGCACTCGCCTGGCATGCGTGTGACCCGGGTTCGATCCTCAGCACCACATACAAAGATGTTGTGTCTGCCGAAAACTAAAAAATAAATGTTAAAAATTCTCTCTCTCTCTCTCTCTCTCTAAAAAAAAGGCATGATTCATTAAAAAAATAAATAAATAAAGACGGACCAAAAAAAAAAAAAGGACTGGGAATGTAGTTCAGTGGTTAAGTGCCCCTGGGCTCAATGCCCGGTACCGAAACAGATAAATAAATAAAAATAAAGAATAAGGGAGAACGTAGCAGGCAGAGTGCGAGCTCACTGTAGGGGAAATGTCCAGGTGCTAGACTTTTCCGTCTGGTAGGTCCCTTATCTGAAACCCCAGGGCCAGGGTAGCGGGGGCAGCAGTGTCTTGGAACTGGAGGCTTCTCTGGTTTGATGGGGTCATAGACATGGGCGCTGCGCGTGCTGAAGAGCCTGGGTGTGAGGGGTATGGCAGGACCTCAGGCTTGTCATCTCATGCTTCTGTGGGGATAGAACGGAGGATCCCACAAGGGGGTCTAAGTGAGTTGAGACTCTGTCTCTTCAGGCCACATTTTGTCACCAAGCTAACAATAAAACTCTTTTTTAAAAATATTTTTAAATTTTGTTTTTAGTTATAAATGGACACACTCTATTTTGTTTGGTCATTTTTTTGTGGTGCTGAGGCTCAAACCCAGTGCCTCACATGTGCGAGGCAAGTGCTCTGCCACTGAGCCCCAGCCCCTAAAACTCTTTTTATTTTTTATGGAAGTTTATTGATTTCAAAACTGGGGACCTATATGTCACCAGCCTTCTAAATATGGTAATATGGTATGGGGTCCCCTAAGAGTCCCTGGGGCTCCTTCAGGGGACCACGAGGTCATGGTTGTTCTTCTGCTGCCCCGGAGAGGCTCCGGGGAGTGAGAGGCCCACTGAGTGCAGAAGCAGCCCGAGGCACTGGCCAGGCCACACCAAGGAGACTTGCAAAGGGTACTTATTAATCAGGCCACTCAGAGCACTGGATTTTTTGGAAAACAATTACTTTTATTAAAATTAGCTTACATGCTAACTCACAGTGGGTTCGTTATTTTAGATGTATTAGTGAATAAATATTTTTAAGATCTATCAATTTCAATTTCTAATGTGGTAAATATCAGTGGGCATAACCCAGATAAATAAAAGCCCTCGGGGTCCTTACTAATTTTTTTAAGAGTATAAAGGTCTGAGAGCTGCTGCTTGCGTATGTGTGTCTTGGTCACGATTTCTTTTCTTTCTTGTTGGCTGTAGGCCACAGTAAAAACCAACGTGCTGTTTGAAAGTGACAAGAAACTGAGGTCCCAGGGGAATCGGCCAGAGGAGCAGGAACAGCATGTGGGGCCCTGGGAACAGTGAGTCCTGCTGAGGAGACCAATGACCCCAGGGCTTAGGAACAGAAGCCCCTTCACACCTGGCTGGCTTCAGCTGGGGAGGAATCAGGGCCCACTTCTCTGGGAAGGTGACAGTAAGGCTCAAATCGGAGGGTGGGGGACAGAGGCAAGAGGACGAGTCAGAGAGTGCTGGGCAGAGGCCACCCCAGGCAGCCCCGAGGCCGAAGGCCTTGATACAGCCAGAGTGGAGTGGGAGGAGGCGGGGAGGGGGGTGGGGGGTGGTGTTGGTCCCAACCGGAGGGAAGCAGGGACATTCGTGACTTGACATCACACGTAGAAGGGGCTCAGGAGGCCAAATATGCGGAGGGTTTGGGTTTGTCCCCAGCCACCCACCGAGGAGCTTTGGGCTCTGCTTGGTGCTCAGGGAAAGGCAGGTGGTGGGAGGAGACGGCTGAGATGGCCCAGGGAGGAGGTGGGCCACTGTGGCCGGCCCTGGCTGTCCCTGGAGAGAGGAGGGAACCGCCTGAGGATGCTGATCAGACCCTCACGCTCTGCTGGTGGGAACCATGACGCCACCACCGAGAAAGGGCCCGGCGGGCCCCCCAGAGGACTGACTCAGAGTTACCCTGTGAGCCAATGTCCCCAGCAGGCCACAGGGTGAACAACCTGTGTCCAGGCAAGGGACACCATCAGCCACTTAAGGGGACGAAGCATGGTCCAGAAGAAACAGTCCACAGGGACAGGAAGCAGACCCCCCACGCCTAGGCCTGGGGCAGGGGCCGAACAGGGGTGGGGTTTGAGGGTCATGAAAATGTTCTTTTAATTTCCCCCCAGCACTGGGGAGTGAACCCGGGGCACGCTCCCAGTTGAGCTTCGTCCCCAGCCCTTTTCCATTTTATTTTGAGCCAAGTTTCTGAGGTGAGGCTGGCCTTGAACTTGCAATCCTCCTGCCCCACCTCCGGGGTCACTGGGATTACAGGCGTTGGCCATTGTGCCCAGTTGGGATGAAAATGAAAATGTCCTCCAGTCCACTGCAGTGGCGATGGCACAGTTCAGTAGATAAACTAAAGACGACCTCTGTCATCTAGGAATTAACCTGGAGACGGCCACCTCTCCAGGACCTGAGAAGCCCTCAGGAGGTGACTCAGCATGGTCCCAGCTCTCAGCAGACGGGGGCAAGAGCATAGCTTCAGCAGGGAGTTCAAGACCAGCCCTCCTCCAGGCTCCTCCACTTACCCAGCACAACCTCCCCTCAGGGCCCTTGCTGCTGTGTTATCCCCACCTCTTTTTTTAAATTTTGGTACCAAGAACTGAACCAGGGACACTTAACCAGTGTCACGTCCCCAGCCTTATTTTATCTACAGACAGGGTCTCGCTGAGTTGCTGAGAGCCTTGATAAGTTGCTGAGGCTGGCTTTGAACTTGCGGTCCTCCTGCCTCAGCCTCCCAAGCTGCTGGGATCACAGGCCTTCGCCAAGGTGCCCAGCTCCTTCACCTCCCTTAGGTTGCTGCTCAAATGTCACCTCCACAGTGAATCCCTGCCCCCACTGCCCACCCTCCACCTGGAATCCCGCTCCTCTGCCCTGGCCACCTGACACCCTGGATCCTGCCCTCCTCTCCTGCCCTCCTCGGTCTTGGTTGTTCTGGCCCCACTAGAGCACCAGGGGGTAGGGGTCTGTCACACCAGGTCCCTGCCTTCCTCCCAGTGCCTGCTGGAGTGTCAACCAGCGCTCAGTAAATGTTGGCTGAAGAGGATCTGAAGTCCTTTCCGCGGACAAATTTGCTGATGCATTAAAGGCCGCGGCGCCTCCTCTCCCGCCAGCTGTTCCCTTGGCGTGACTTTTCCAGCAGGTGGACTCTGACCGTCCATTTCAAGAAAGAGGACATTCCATCCCTATAGGAGTGGGTTGCGCTGAGCAAGGGTGCTTGCAGGGCACTCTGGGGACAGTGACGATTGGGTCTGGCTATGACCG